GAGAGAGAAGGGTAGGAAGGATGCAGGCAGCGGTAACAGCGGCAGCAGATTGTTGGCGCAAAGGGGACGCGAGCAGATAGAAGGAAGAGAAGAGAGGGATGCGAGTTGGCCAGAGTGGTGTTTCCCCAGGGTAAGCATGAGCATATACTTGCCCGGGGCTTATTCAGACAAATCGGTGATTGCTGCGGAGGCGAGCGAAAAGGTAGCTCGCATAGTCGCCGCTCGCACCACCATCACCATCACCATCATCCTCACCAACACTACCATTGCATCGGCCGTTCGGTTGCTTTTGCCATCAGCACATCGCGAGGCACTGCGCGCCGCAAACACGTTGCACTTCCTATCGGTGCAACGATAGAACGAGACATTACGCTGAAATCCGTTGTGAATACGGAGGTAGAACGACAGAGACGAACGATCACACAGACAGAGGAATAACACAGAGACGGAAGTGGCGGAATAGAGAAGACTGTGCGGTGTGGAGGGTGTCTGTGAGATGGCTAGAGAAAGAAAGAGAGAGAGAGAGAGAGCGCAGTCGGACTGAAGAGGAACCGGGGAGAGAGAAGAATGATTGTTTCCATGATTACAATGGAGAGAGGAAGAGGAAAAGGGCCGGGTAGGATAGGACAGAGCGCAAGGGTGGCGAGCGCGGGTAAAGCGGTATGGGGAGCAATCTCTTAGCGCTAACGTAGATTCGTGGGACGGGGTCTCTCGAAATATTACACCAGAGGGGTACCAACCGCCGTCGACGCGGACGTGCCCACCGGGGAATTTCGTAACTGCGCGGGTAATGTGTGTCAGCCATCGGACCTGCCCGAAGTGCTTTCTCAAGGAAAATACTTTGCACCTCGTTTGGATGCCGGAAGATGCGAGAAAAGAAAGAGAGAGAGAGAGAGAGACTCGTTACGTCACCTTGCACCACCACTGGCATTGGTTCCGTCACGGACGATTCATGGAGAAAGATTTATATCCCAAGTACGAAGGAACGTAAGCCTCAGATTCAAGGTGCTAATGCTCTTACAAAGGCTAGCAGTGGAAATAGCGGTCGAGTAGTTCCGTCCGGAGGAAAAGTATAGAACTCGTTTTTAATTTATCAACCCCGGGAGAGAGAAAGTCTTTCTCTACGTCTCTTTCTGTTGTAATGAACGTTTCTTGTTGCAACGAGCCAGCGTGGAAAATCCCCGGATAAAAGCGCACCAGAGACGGGAGTAACGCAGCTACGGACGAGAACGTATACGAATAACTAGAGAAATAGTATTTCAGTTATTAAATTAAGCAACACACAATGAAACTGTGCACTCGGGAGAAGTAATTCTCGAACTGCGATGAAAAGAAGGAATCGTGTACAACGATTGGCGTGCAACGTTCCATCGTGTGATCAGTTTTCCCGTTCAAAGGCCTCAAGCCGATTACACATCGCCTCCGAATATCCCATTAATCTCATCAAGCCTCTGTTCTCCGCGCAATCACTTCGCACGATTACTACCGAGAGTAATTTCATCAACAATTAGTTACTTATTAATTATCTGGATATTATTTACTTAGCAAATTTTAATATTATAAATATTTATATATAATATATAAAATATATTATATAATTTCTCATATTATTATTAATAACCTTAATTACTGCATGCTAAAGACAATTACATTATTTGATGTCTTGCACGATTGATATTTATATTCCTAAACTTATACATAATTGATTTGTACAAAATGCAACAATTATAATATATATAAATGCATCATTACTATATAAATTGAATAAATATATAATTATATTAGGGGGCTTTTGTTTGGATCGCCCATTATCGGATCAAATGTTCATTAAGAGATCCCTTTTATATTCGTTTTTAATAAATCAGTAGTAAATTGTATATTTAAATATTCCTGTTATCTCTTCATATTTAATTAAAGGATATTTTCAGCACACTGAAATACTTTATGCAGAAGAGAGCGGTTTATATCTCTAACACTCTAATTAATAGCAAAGTCTCTTTGATGCGGAGAATTATCATTAAGCATCTTCAGCATTTACCACGAAAGCCGTCTTGATATGAATGTAATCTAGTGCAATCATTCCAACATCGATCAAACCCGACGATACGCACACAATTAAATTTTTAAGAATTAAATATTAAAATAAAGAGTACGTATATTTATAAATTGCAATTTTATCTGTTTAAAATACTTGAGATATCGATAAAATATTGATATGCCGTTTTCATTTTTACATCTAAACGGATTCGATATAGCAGCCATAAAAAAATAAACGTATATATAATTCATATATAATTCTTTGTTTCTCAATGAAACTTCGAACAATCGCAAGAAAAATTCCGATTAAGAATATACACTGAAAAATTACAGTTAAACATTCCGTATTATTAGACTCAACAAAAATTTAAAAAAGAGAAATATCTGAAACGTGCAGTGAAATAGAAGTCTCGGATTTATATTTAATTAATTAGTCTTTCCAATCAGACATTATCCGGATATCCGCCGGTTTTCAGAATCGTGACCATGCAAAATGCCGAACTAAGTCGCCGTTTGAGTTCTCTAAAGCTTTTTATGCGATAAGCATGCCGTCTCCGCAAGAAGAGGATGGCATTATCCCGGGATAGCATCGAACGAATCGTTATCTTCTCCGTAAAGATAATGACTCTGTAACCTCGACGCCCTACTGCTCTTTTCATAGACAAGACAAACTGTGTTCCTTCGTGACAATGTACTTAAAAGCGCGATCGATTGCGTTTCGATAACGAAAGGATTCAAACGGCAACTGCCATCATCTCTTAGTTTTCTCTCGTCCAACCCTCTCTCATTTTCTACAGTGGTTACAAGCACGTAGCGTCTCGTTTTTCGCGCAAATGGTCGTCTTTATCGGAAATTCGATTTATATTGTACTACTTATACATCGATTCGATTAAGCTATGCGGTGCACAGCTCGCCGCTTTCCCATTATCATGATCACAAATGGCGCTAGACAAAAGAAAAACTTCTTTTATATAAAAAGAATCACGATATTGCAACAATTTTTCTAATAAAAAAAATCAAATCCGTTACTTTATTTTTCTCGTTTCAAGATTCGCGTCACAAAACAAATTTAATTTCAAAGTTACAATTTCCATTTCACCGCAGTATATGTTTTGATATTCTAGCTGTACATTTTTATATTTTTGAGAAACGAGAGGTTTTATAAAAGTATTGGATGTAAAAATATATTTTTTTAATTTTATATAAAAAAATACATAACCTAATAGTTTTGAAAAGCAAAGTGTTGATTAAAATTTTGATTAAATTTTTGCATTATATTCGTCCTCCCAGAGAGAGTAAAACCGGATTAGATTTCAAACTATACACTCAACTTATCAACACATATCAGGTGCACGCAGTGTGTGCCCTCAAGGCCCATTAACCCTGTTTTCAGCGATCAGCCCTTCGTCTAAGCTCGTCATAGAGGATAGCTTGCGGCGAAGTACACGCGTGTCGCACAAGTGTGTATGGATGACACACCACTAGCCGGTGGTGGTAGCCCAACGCGCGGCATGTAACCGGCTGCCCGCGTATGGCCGAAGGTGGTTATGTGGGTCGCACAACAGTCACTTGAGATTAATTACCAAGTGCATCGTTAGAGATAACGCGGCGAAGGTTTGGTGGCGGCGGTTAAGTGAGGCGATGGCGTCCAGATACGACGTTAAATTGAACCTTTCGTCACCGCTGATTCTCGACCCGGTACGACCTAACTCGGCGCAGAGTACAATATGCGTACTTGTCTAAAAGCAATTACTGCTGACGTGCGCACATACATACGTACATACATGCACGCAGGTGAACTCGACGATAGCGCGCGATATAATATATTGTTCGGACAGCATCTCGTTCGTACCGGCTTCGTCAAATCCGTAGCGGGACATGAGCGAAAGACGATATCTGATATTAATTTCCGCGCGCGGTTGCTGAATATCATTATGAGCCGTGGACCGAGCTACAGCTCGAGTTAATAACTTGATTTTTGGAAAAAAATATAGAATAGATATACGGATAAGAGTGACGCAATTAAATCTCTAAGTTATTCATATGATCGTGTCAAATGATATTGCCCGAATTATTTTTAAATATTCTTTAATAACGTTCGCGATTAGTATTCCTATTTCATTGGTTATATTGGTAATAATAAAAAATTATAAATTTAACCGAGCACAAAATAGAAAAAAGCGAAGAGATATTAAAGTCGTGAATTTTTAAATGCTTGACTATGCGTTTAAATAGAGAAAAAATTTTATAAGTCTATTATTTTAATATTTTGCTTTCATCGGCTTCATAAATCTTTGAGAAAAAGTTATAGCAATATTTCTTAAGCGGATACTTCACTAATGCATTTACCAATCTTTGGAAAATAATGACGTTTGCACAATTTCATTAAACTTGTGTTTAAAACATTTCCGCGGCGAGAGAAAACAACTTAAGTAAAATAACCTCGTTTTTCCAATAATAATAATCTTTATTATCTTTTGAAGAAACAAAATAAACTTCAAATTATCAAAGAAAATTTATGAACTGATAAATTATTCTAGAATTAATTGGAGAAAATCGTCACGTATTATTCGTATCATATACAAAGAATGTCCTCTATTATTAAAAGAAAAATATTAGTTTCAAATTGGCCAAAGCGAATCTGTCATTAAACGTTAATATAATCATAGTGACATACTGTGCATTTACGCATATATGATTCCCGCGAGAGTGGTATTCGCGCGTGTCGTTATTGAGGAATAATTTATGCAACTGCGGTTTTGAAAATTCCGCAACCAAAATTTCCATGAAATTTCAATCTTTATAGGACTGGTATTTATTCGGTGATTTAGATTCACGTCCACTGGACAGAAGCAACCCCTTTTCGGATTTGATCCCCATAGCGATCGATTTAAAATATATATCCGCGAATCCCTCCCCGTTTTCATGAAAGAAAATTCCGATATTTATATGCTACTCCGTAGGTGGGATGGCTACGTGCCGAGGATCAGACGATATTATCAATGGGCGATCGCAGAGTCACCCATTCGCCTCGTTTCTTCGTCACCTTGGAGAACGCCAAGACGAAGAATCAAACGCAATCGCGGGAGGACGAGGAGGCCACTTGGCAGCTGCATATTCGGGCATTGAAGGAGGCCGACCGTGGCTGCTACATGTGCCAACTCAACACCAAGCCCATGTTAAGCCAGCTGGGATGCGTGGATGTCCTAGGTATGCCTAATTGCACGCGTTTACGCGTGCCGCATTCCGCCCGACCAAGGTTTGCGGCTGTTGGCAGAGACGTCACGCACGCACGCATTGCGTTTCGATTAGGTCTGAACCATGCTTTAGGGCCGGAAAGTATGCGTGCCTCGCCACTGCAACGGCGCGCCTGAATAGACCGCCATACACGTGTGCAACCTCGCGTAACATGAAGATTTCTCGATGCACGTGTTATGCAAATCGCACGAGAGATGATCCAAGTCGAATACGTCATTGGCTACTGTATTATTGATAAATTATGATTGAAGGAAATTTAATCGGCTTTCGAAAGAAAAGATATTTAAAAAATTTTGATCTCTGAACTGATTAGCTTGTTTAATTTTGTTAAAAAATTTTAATAATTTGACATACGTGTGCAAAGTATTTAAACTGGGTTAATTTGATTGGTAAAAAAGTTCATTTTACGTAATCTTTACAAGACATAATATCGATTCGACAGGAGTTAATTTACAAGGAACATCATCAAGGAACATCGGTCATATAAGAAATGCTAACGGCCGTGCTTTAATTTATAGTTTAATTAAACACGATAACGAAGTTCAAAAGTCTATCCGGTGGAAAGTCTATCGGCGTTAGCTGACTACATTAGTTGATGGATGTTCGTACTTTGTAGCTCGTGCGCAAACGTCAAACCAGACTGTTTCTATTAAATTAACATTATCTCCTTTTAACGTTAATTACACCGGTCTAACGCGTACATCTCAATATTTGCCTTGCTTATAGCTTCTACATCGGCAACATTCTAAACATGGCCGGAACTGCTGCGCGCTTCAATTTTGGCATAAAACGCGCTCGTTGCGCTCTACTACGGCATCATGAAATGCACAATTTCACTTTTATATCGCGCCGACGGGGCCAGCAGCAGCTTCGCCCGAGTAATATCATCTACTTTGTGCGTGGGAGAGAAACGGGGACGGGTCGTAGGATGAACGGGGAATGCGTTCTATCGCGTGCATGCGTGCCTTCGTTCGTCGTTGGATGAACCGAAAAAGTGGGCTCTTGCTGTCGAATAGAATGAAATTCCTTTGTGTAGAAACACGAGAAAATGCCATCCTCTTTTTTTTCGCCACCCGAATTGTCCATACGTGTGTGTTATACCGCGACATACTTGTGTCCAGCTTGGATCATTGTAATTGAAACGAACCGAACGGCTCTTCGAATTGGACGAAATTCTATCAAGAGAGCTTTCTCTCCTTCCTCCTTGAAGAAAAGAGGATGTCCCGCTGATATTTCATTTCCGTCGAGTGTGACGGGAATGATTTCGAGATGATTTTTCTGTCCTGTTTACCAACGTCACCGGCAACGCCTCGGTTAAATCGAGTTAGAACGACGGCAATACCGATTCTTTATGGTCCACATATCCCCCCTAGTTTTCGCGAAACCTTGTTCACAGCCCAATGTCGAAAGCAGATGCCGAAGAGACTTATATGAAGATATATCGTTTCGCACGACGGGCGATTTCGATCCAATTCATAAATTGTTTCGCTGTTGTAGACAACAGTGCGCGGTATCAAATGAAATTGCATTATAATCCTCGGACACGTTGAATTTGTGATAAATGGATGCGCGTGCGGTATCGAGAAAATTCGTTTCATTCCACAAAGGCCGCGTGATAACGTTTAGTATACTTTATATTCCGTATATACACAATGCAGTCTAGAAAACACGCTTGCTATACAACTGCTTTATTATTCTTTTGTTAGCGAGTTTTACATGTGCTCCTAGTGTCTGACTCGATACAGTAACACAATGCAGTACACAATGAATTACGATAAAATATTAGCTCAAAAGAATTTTATAATTTTTATTTTACAAACGCAATTAAAACATATGCGATGGAATTAATTTTCCATATTGTATTTCACGGAACGGAGTACAATTGAATAGCTTACTCCAAAAAATGCGTAAATAACGGGAAATTAATTTCACAAGAGACGTAGAGTTATATCGATATATTATATTGCAAATATTTTTGTTTACAGCCATAAATTTTTGACAATATATTTTTTATGGTCCTCGTAATTCACTATGATATATATTGTGCATTGCGTGGATTAAATAGTTATAGATATTTTTTGTAAAATGGTTTTTTCTTATAAACTGATGCTCTTTTTCCCGAATATAATTTTAATAAATGTATTGCACAAAAAATCAGACAATTAAAATCTGATAATTAAAATCCCAAATACGTGAAATTATATGTGAAAAATATTATCAATTTTATCTCGAGAGCGAATAAATGATGTAATTTTTTCGCGTAATTGTGTAATGTGATTTTTTATGCGTTTCATTATATTGCTATGATAATATCCTTTCTTTTTCAGTCCCACCCGACATCCTAAATTCTGGCACATCGGACGGCGAGGTTTCCGTTCTCGAGGGTGAGAACGCTACGTTGTCGTGCAAAGCATCCGGACGGCCACCGCCTCGTGTATTCTGGCGACGCGAGAAAAGTGATTTCATACTCGTGAGGGGTTCTCATGATCCGTTGATACAAGGTAAGATATCGCTCTTATATCACGAGGATCCTAAGATTGTCACTCCCGACGATCCTCGTAATCATCGTCTCTTTGTGACGACGACGTGCTCTGTCACATGAAATACGCGTTGTTTCGAAATGAAGTGTCTCTACTCATCCTGCGAGGAAAACCGCCACGCGAACGTGTATTATTTCCCTCTCTATTTAAATAGGGTTACATGACATGTCCAATTACTGATTTGTATTTACTACTACAGCTTTATATACTCAGAAAATAATGGAGAAAATTGTTTATAGTATATATAGGAAGAAAACATTTCTCTTTCTTCTCTTTCTCTTAAAAAGATTATAAAAAGATCTTAATACCTCGATTTTAATTTCTAACGCAAACAAATGTTTTTTTGCATTTTCCGCAATTAGAATAATTAGATATCTTAATCAAACGAATGGTCAAACGTTTTAAGAGAATATGAAAATGTATAATAAATTCGTACACGTAGGTAATCCCGATCGAAAGCAATTACGACAGAACACGTTCCATCGAATAGAGATTAGTTTGTCCGCAATAACTTTCAATATCCTTCGACACGTCGAGCAGCGCTGCATTTTTTACAAGACATCTGCACTCGAAGAATTTCGTATAGTCGCGATGAATCGCGCAACGCGAATGAATCACGATCGGTCAAAAAAAAATATTTGTAACATCATGCGTATGCCACTAGCTCGTGCGGAATTAAAAGAGTGTGCTTGTACAACCATTGACATTCAATTGGAATGATTGACATCGCGCTAGAGAGACAAATTTTAGCAATCAATCGATTTCCAATATATTCCCGATGTATCCCGAAGTATAACGCGACATACTATTTACAGTATGTGCTTCAATGAAAGACTTTTTCGTATATATAAGTCAATATATACAATTTCATTCATGACAGAGAATTTTTAAAGTCTAGTAATATCGTTGATTGTCTGTAAATTTACTATAACAAAATTTATATACATCATTTTTCTCTTAATTTTTGCAGAAAAAAATTTTGTATAAATATGTATAGCGTGCTTCATCTAATTATACCTTATGTGAATTAATATTGATATTAATATTATATATAATAATATACTATACATATACGTTAATAATATACATAATAATTAAACAAAGTATAATATAGATATAATACATGTAATGACATGATACAGTAGAATGAAATTCATTCTGCTATATTGTTAGTATAATGAAAATAATTGTATATATTCCCCAAGATAGATTTCATTTCTGTCATGTTTCATTTAATTAACATTGATGAAAATCTGATACACAATAATTAAATTCTGAAATAAAAAGACGTTATTTCCGTACACGACAACGCAATCAAACATTCGACAATTATTAATTTAATGCAAGTTGCAGCGCTGCACGAATTCGTCAGCTGTCAGTACAAATCACGCATCTTGCATTTTCGATCGATCTTATTAAACTTCTGACACATTTTATCGCGAATATAGAACGACACGTTCCACGTGTGATTTATGTCGGTCGTTCGTTCAATAATAATATAATTCATTATCTTTCAGTTATTCGAAAAGCATATCTACTATACATATACGCTAATATAATTTTTCATTATTATAATGGAAAATGGAAAATGTAAACACATGAAGTAGAAATATTAATTTTCAAAATTTCATTATCTCCTTTCGTTTATATAATAAATATTTAAAAAAATTAATATTTAAATATATAAGCTAATGTTATAAAAATGTGTCAAATGAATAATGTATGTAAATTAATTTATCAATACCAATTCTAATTTCGAATAAAATCTAAAAATATATTATAATTTAAATTTTATTATACGAAAATTGAATTGACATAAAAAATTAATGTGGTTTCAAAAATTAATCGGAATAAATAAATTTGCGTTTATCCTTTGATATTAATATAATGTAAAAATATTTATATGCTTTACCACTAATGGCAATAAATTCCAGCGACAAATTTTACTGTAAATTTATATATTCTGCTTATCGTTGCGTACCCCGGAAGACATATTTCGCGAATAATTACTCAGGTCGCGTTAACACGTCGGCTTATATGGTCGACAAGGGAGCAGTTTTCAACGAAATATTCGTATAACGTACGATTTTCTAGTGGACAACCTGTCCGGCGAAAGGCTAGAATTAACCAGAGTAGACAGGAGGCAAATGGGGGCTTATCTTTGCATAGCGAGAAACGAAGTGCCTCCGGCAGTCAGCAAGAGGGTTAATCTAAAAGTAAATTGTGAGTACTCGACAACGTTTATAGCACTTTACTTGACGATGTCAAATCAAGATTGAAATCAATTGACAAACGGAAAACTCTGTTTATCCAATTTAACGTTTATTTTTTAAACAAACAGAAAAGACGTCACTTTAATAGCAGTGCTATACTATCGCGAAAAATATAAACGAAAGTTAAAAAATATGACGTTAATTATATTAGCAATTGAATTAAAGTTATTTATATTAGCAATTAAATTAAAATTATTTAATAACATTTATGCAAATGCAATAACGAGTAATAATATCTCTCATTTCTCCCTTTGTCTTTCTAGTTCCTCCCAGCGCAAAGGCACCCAATCAACTACTCAGTTCTCCTTTGGATACAAACGTGTCACTAATCTGTTTAATCGAGGCTTATCCCAAGACAATTAACTTGTGGATGCGTAAGGAACAAGTTATTATGAGCGGGTATGTGCTAAGACAATATTGACAATCTAGTCTACCGATTTTCAGGCATAGAAGCCGTTGTTCGACAATCTCGTTGACGATAGAAGGCAAAATCGTTTCACCCTGCTTTTTGCTAAATCGCACCCGACCTCGGCCACTGCAATTTCGGATATCGATCCCGGCGACGATTCGATTATTCTAACGAGATGTCGAATAACGGAATCTATTCACCCTATCTTGGACGTTAAACCTAAGTGATATGTCAATGTAGAGGCAGATACGAAATCGACGAACGAGGAGACCCCGACGAGGAATGGAAGACGACGATCGTGTTGAAGATAAGACGCTTGAAGAAAACGGATTTGGGTGAATACACGTGCTCAGCCTCCTCAAGTATGGGAAAAGCCGAGGCGACTCTCAGGGTATACGGTGGGTAGTTTTACACGTATAAGATCGAATGAATACGTTATCCTCTTTAGGGCAGAGATGTGCACAATATCCAGTTTATAGTTATGTTGAAATTTACAATCAATCAGGTCAATTGAAATTTCATTATCGATAATTATTTCACATTGTGAATAAAAAGATTAAATTTTTGAAACACAATTAGACAACATTATACATATGTACTTTATTAATTTTATTAATTTTTCATTCACAAAAATTCACAAATGATATGAATATTATTAATAGCATATTTAGAGCACCAAAATGAGACCAAATAAAATAAAGTACATTAGAATTTTTTCATGGCAATTTTGATAGGCAAAAAAATCAATATAAAGAAGTTAAAAAAAACCATACATAAAAGCATCTAAAAAAAGAGACAGGGCCACGAAAAGTGGAGCGTTTCGTTTATCCATAATTCGTGTAAATACTTTCAGAGATCGAGCGCGTAACCGTACCCACCCGCGTCACCTCAGCCAGTAACAAGCGAGTGAACCAAGGCAAGTCAAAGTCCGGTCAAGGGACGATGGGCAATCGGGTTTTCCATCAGCAGGTGAGCACGCCGGCGATGCAGAAGAGCACCGCGCGATTGATCTACAACAACAGATACGCGACTACGTCGACTACCGCGGACCCGCGCGCTCCCTTAATCAAGGATCATGGTAACGCTTTCAAGCACAACACCCACAACGATAACCACCAGAATCTCAAGGATCGTAGCGACGCGTCCGCAGTCATCGCTAGCAAACGGATCGTCTTGCCGCTCTGTTTGATATTGTTCTCGACAGTGCGATAAGATACAATATAACGACCATCACGACAATGGATCGCTAATTCATCGCGAAAGGAGTTACTCGGTGAAACAGCATGGAATCAAGTTCATCGATCCGGATAGGATGATTCCGGAGACTAACAAGCGAAAGGAAGGAAATCTTGCGGAGAGAATAAAATTCAGACAACGACTATGATATATAGAAAGCTGGAGTGACAAAAAAGAACTACACGTTTTAATTATAGATCGATATTCTTGACAACACGAGAAAAAAAACATTTGGACGCTTTTACGTGTAGAAGGGTGAAAAAACAGGGAAAGATTTGATCCGCTAATGCGAGTGAAGGTTGCCCGAGATAACCACTGCGGATTTTTCCGGAAAGACGCTTACGATTGTATTTTTTATGACCCTTTTATCTGTTGCTGACGTGCGAATAGTTCGAAGACGAAATGTGCTTTTTATTGAACTAAATATATAATTTCGATATTTTAACTCTCAAATAGTGAGATGCTTGTCATGATTTATTCACATTTGTAAAAATTCTTCTTAATTTTATCTCGAAATAAACTTTCTTCGCACATTTAATTTTAATTTTGTTGTATCAATAACTTTTTTCTCTTGTTATATACTAATATAAAAATTAATTATGTTATTAAAACATAATTATTGGATGAAAAAAAAAAAAAAAAAACAATGTAAAAAGAGATATTTTTACATTATAAGTTATATTATCTCATTATAATTTATCCCAATATTCATCCTATTTATTTCAATTATATAATTTATATATCAATTATATATAAATAAAATTATACAAAATTATTTAATTATTAAAAGTTACTTAATTTATATAAAAAACATTAATATCTTAGAGAATTTCAGTTCCAAACAATATTACCTGAGAGAGAGAGAAAGAAAGAGAGAGTTAACGAATATAAAAGAGAAATGTTTATTATTCAAGGGGGTAATTTTTTCTCTTTTTTTTAATAAAAATAACTTGGAGTAATGTTATAACGTTAGCGTCTAAAGCCTTATATATGCAGGGTGTCTATCTCAAATGAAATGTCACTATCGTTAACGAGAAATAACACACAAAATTTAATTGCTTATATACGAATCGTGATCTCGATGTGGATATATCTCATAATGATAGCGACGATTCAATTAAAATGAACATCCGTTATGTTGCCATTGTAATATGTCTTCATCGATAATTCATACGACTTTTCCGAGCAATTGTGCGATCGTACCCAAATGCAGACAAATAATTAGCATACTAATTTGTATGTAAGATATAAGACGATAAAATATCTTTGTTTATTGTGATGTAAGAGAGCGAATTGCGATATTATACTTGGCATCTTAGCGAGTTCTCACGTCATATCCGAAATAAGTCATATCCATAGCGCATATATAACATACCACTTTAGAAGAGTATTATAAGTATCACATATTTCAGTTATTTTATGTATTTTTTTAAATTACTAGACAAATACTGTACCTTATATATCGGTGATAAAGCAGGACCACATTATAGATATAGTATAAGTGGTTGACTGCGAGGAATGTGACCGATATATTGCTTTTTAGATAAAACGCGTTATAAATTGGCTTTGTCATGCCAATTTCTGTATAGGATATGCTCATCTTAAAAATTACATATGTACATTACAGTGATAATAAATACATATAAATGATGGAGTATATATATATACATATACATATCTGTGTGTACGTCATTATATAAACTTATCAGGAATTGACAACAAATATACTCTTGTATGTATTATAATAATTTTTAGTAATGTCATAAAGATTATTTAATATAATTTAAAGATCATTTTTAATGTTTCATGTAAAACTACAAACCATATCTTGCGCTGTAATTAAGACAATTGTGCAAAGCGATAAGTCAAATGTCAGCAAAATGTCAGAGTTTTAAAGTTGAAAGAATTAAGGAAAAGGGTGATTCAATAATCTTTAATACTGCAATCTATCAATCACCTATCAATATAAAATGCAAGTCTTGGTTACATTGCGTGATGTATTGTCATGAAAAATGTAGCATATCCCACACAGAGCAACAATATGTTAAATGTACCTATTCAATGAACCTTGTATATCACAGAATGCTCAATATAATAACTTTATAATAACTATATTAAAAGAATGTTGTTGTTTATAGGACGGAAAATATATTATGAGAATACAATGAGAAATGTGCTCAAATTGGATAATATAGCTTTGGGGAAAAAACGTGTTGACAAATAAGAAAAAACTATCATACATTTAGCAATGACGTTCGTTTTGACTTTAAGTCTAGCTTAAACGAATGTATTTTTATGTATTACTGAAACGACAAATATAGCTGTTTGTCACAAAATGAATATCAACATTGCTTTTTATTCTCACCTCTGGTCTTTAAGCATAAATATAATACATTAAAATACATTGAAATATACAAATGCATTGACCAAAATGACACCATAGGAATTTTATGACCAAAACAAAATACTAAAGGCCATAGATACACAACAAAAAGCTACATATGGGCTTTTTCTTTCGCCAATCCTAGCACATTTCCAAAAAGTACCCTGAAAACTAAAAATAAAAAATTCAGTAAATATATATATATATATAGAATATATTATGCGTAAATATATATATTTACATTTATTAAATATATGAGTTCTACATACCCAACCTTTCCCAGTCGATTGTCGAATAAGCTGGGTATCAGTGATCTGATGTAGGTGCAAGTACATATTAGCAGTAATATTACAGTCAACAAGCTCTGGAAATTAAATATGGCAGACTGCCAAACAAGATTATATTAGTATGTTTCAAAAAGTATTTATTTCTTATTTATAAATTGATCACATACGTTATGTGATGCAACAGCTTTACTATTATTTATATTAATAGGAACAAAATATGAATTATTATTTTTCAGATGGACAAAATATTTTCTAATAAAATAAAATATCTAATAATAATAACATTTAACAGACCACATATTTAAAAATTCAGCTTCAAGCTTGTTGATAGCTAGTTTTTCCCGTATAGGTTATGTATGATCCATTTTTTAACTTAGACTGCCAATCATAATTCGAAAATATTAAATTTATAATTACCATAATGTGAAATCATGCGAATTATTTGATTCAAAAAATTGCAGATAAAGTAAAGTTGAAGAACTGTGTAGATAAATGGATAAAAACTCTCTTATAAACAAATCCTCACATCACCCACAGCCACAGCGCATAACGTATCGCGCATGATACATTTATATACTATGACTATATGCAGAATATATATATATATATATATATATATATATATATATATATATATATACGTATATATTTGTATATGCATATGCAAATATGTTACTCAGCAGAAACAAAAATTATGCAACCAACAATCGAATATAATTGTGTTGTGTGATTCTTCCTCTTAATATTATAAGATGTTAACTCAATAAATAGTATTTTTTTATATTTATTTTCAATGATTTAATTTTTCAATAAAATTTTATTATATTTACCTCTGCGCCAGGAATAGTGTCCACTGTCCTTATGTAGAAGCTTATTCGGAACACTTACATTCGCATTATTTTTTTTTGTTTGCGATACGTGGCGATGCCCGAATTTTAACGTTTTCGCGTCGCCGCTTTTTTTCCATTTCCGGCAACTTATTTATTGCTTATAACGCACTCTCAAAAATCGCCGATATTCCAGAATTGGGTATATGCTTCATTATATATAATATATATAATAATTTAAAATAATTCTATGCAAAAAACGCATATTAAACAAAAACATCACGCATTGCCGGAGTATAAAATTCTATTTCTTCATATTTTTCCTTATTCAAGACTTGCAACTTTATATTGTTTACTATACTCATCTCTCTTTCTCTCATATATGATTTTCACAAAATTCTTACCCAACATTTATAAATAAAAAATGATAAAATGACTCACTGATACGATGCGCAGCAACCAAAATTGTAGTCTGTAAAATATAATAAAATACATTTAAATTATATATATATATAGCAAAAATTATGAAGCGAAATTTAAAAATTATAAAAATTATTTTTATTATAAATTTTTTAAAATATAATAAAAATAATATTTACCATATAGTTGCTCCACTGTTGCTCGGATGCTGGCCCAGATCCTCCTCGTAGAAGAAGCACTTGCACTCGCGTAACTTTTCCGCGATCGCGACGTCCGGGTTTCAGCTATCACATTTTCGCGTCGAACGACAACGGCGACTTCCCTACGCGACGCACTAGGAGTCGTCGATGTTCAAAGTCGAGTGAATTTCGAAAATTCTTTGGCAAATATTTCCGACTCGACGATATTGAAATCTAGCAAAATGGAGGCGCGATCATTGTCATTGTCGACCTGCGATTTTACGAGAATTACGGACTTAATTCGTCGCGAGACGATACTTTGATACGATGATGCGAAAATACGACCGGAAACGAACAGATGCCCGCTTAGAATACAATCGACAACGGCGAAAAACTTTTTCGCGTCGAAAGCGCGTTCTCACGTGCGCGAAATTTTGGCGGTCTGAGCTGTGACGTCACGCCAAATTCCTCCAAGGACACGAGAATGCGCGAGAAACGGAGCAAAGTTTCGAACGAGATTCGCGGCCGACGAAGAATCTCGCGCCTGCGATTGCAATCACGATGTCGGGAGACATGCTCCGCGATCTGATTTATATGATAATTAACGACGTGAAGATACTAATTAATATTTACACACGCACTTTTGCGGACCGGCGTGGATGAACGCGCGAACGTTAAACGTGAACAATGCGAAAGGGCACTAGTTGGCAACACTTGATAAATTGTGTCCGAAAATATATCAGCTAGGGTGAAGCGCTCGATTGACCAATCAGGACAAAGAGATTCTCGGTCTCCGATTGGTCGGTCAAATTCTGAACTTTGACGGACAAATTTTCGAACGCAACCCTAAAGTTTCTGTCGATGTAATATATGACATTATTTATTTCGCTATTGTTTTCTTAGAGTAATATATAAATGAAGAAATTCGTCTTCTTTTCTCCGAAACTATAATATTGTATATTTTTTGCGTACAACATGAATTTATCAATTAAAACTGTCCCTATATTTCTTCTTTATTCATTATATCTTTATAATTAAAATTAAAAATGTTATATATGTATTAAATCCCAGCAAACACCGATATATAATTGTTACATTACTATAATAAAACGGAATATAACAGGTAATATAACGTGTATGTTACATGTAACATCCATGTTAGTTCACATTGTAGTTATATTATAATTATATACCAAATAGCACATTGATATATTGATAAGTCAGTGCTATCTTGGGATATAATGACAATATAACTACAATGTAATATATGTAATATTACAAATGTTACATCTATGAGTGGGAAATTACAACTAACATATACGTTACATGTAACATGCTTAAGTATATAACATTTATATACTGTGTTTGCTGGGATATATATATATATATATATGTATATATATATTTTTTTATTAATTAATTGAAATATATTATAATGTGTTACTTGTTTTAATCTAAGGTAATAATTTGCTTGAATTACATTAGGTACATTCTGTTTCATGCATGATGCACATGATGCATCATTTATCCTTATGTTTAACATTTGGTAACCGCAATAAGTATAATTGATACATTATATGCGCATCATATGTATGAAATGGAATGTATATATCCATTGTTGCTATTGTTTTTTTTTGGAGTAATATATATTAATGAAGAACTCCGTCTTCTCTTCTCCAAAACCATAATATCCTTAACAGCACAATATACATCTGAAAGACATCCAGAGAATATTCGAACATCCTCAGGATGCTCTCCGAACGTCCCCAGGATACATATGCTGTTAGGGATTGTATATTTTTTGCAATATAAATTTATAAATTAAAATTGTTCCTTTTCTTCTTTTATTATGTTTTTTATAATTAAAATTAAAAAAATATATATGTATTATTATGTAGAATTAATCTAATCGATTGACTAAATTATGGTCGGTATTCATATAGTCAGGTCTTATATTTAAGACCATCTTAAGTTTATCTTCAAATATACTCCGTAGCCAATGGAAACGATCCGTACAGCATCTGAAGATGAACTTAAGACAATCTTAAATATAAAACCCGACTATGAATATACCGACCTATATATCTTTGTCTCTTTTCAAATACGTTCTTAAAAAGAGACAAAAATATAATTTAATCGACCGATTAGATATTAATTATATATATGTATATAATGTATGTATATGTATTAAATATTCTTATTAATTAATTGAAATATATATTATATAATATGTTACTTATTTTAACTTAAGATAATTTTTGCCGGAATTCTATTTTTCTGACAAAATAAATTTGCAATTAAATAACAAATATATTTTCTCTTTCAGTACATAAATTTGAAATTGACCAACGTAGTACGCGTCTAGTAAACGTAAATCCATAAAAGACTCGCTTTATCGAGAGGAAACGCTACGTCCAAATTCATCACAGTGTTCCGATTAGGGACCGCATGCGCGAGCACGCGGCTACAGTGAAGTATCTCGTACTAGGAAAAAGAGGCACCGTTAGCCGGCTATATTGAAAATATTTAAAAAAAATTTTCAACATATTAAAAAATAAAATATGTATATATATATATTTAAAAATATTTAAAATTTAATTATTTAATATATATAAATTATAATAAAGAATAAAAAGGAAGAGAATAAAGATGATATAAAATAAAACACTTTATACATAAATAAAATAAAAATCTTTAATTTGGCAGAAATTTCAAAGAATACCAACATTTATTGCAAGGATAAAGAAAACGGCCAAAAATCTTACCAGTATTCATTAACAATAATAAAATTAATAAATTATAATAAGAATTGAAATAAATAAAAGTTATAATTATTAATTATAAAATTATAAATATTATATTTTATCTTAAATTTAATTATAATTTTTTTCGTTAAATTATAAAAACCGAAATAATTTTATACAGTATTCAATAATTATAAAAAATAAAATTGCACAGCACTTATTAATTAAAAAAAAATTGCATATTTCTTCTTAAATTAAAATCATTAATAAAAAAATAATAATGCATAATATTACTTATGTATCACAGATATATTAAATGACATATATATATAATATTCTGTTATAATACCCTATCGTTCACGATCCCGCCAAACTGCGTACATATGCGTCACTGTATCTCTCTAGCTGCGCATGCGCAAAAGCGCGCATGCGCAAAAGCGCGTGTGCGCGTACAGCTAGTCCCTAATCGGAACACTGATTCATCGTTCAATAGGCAGATTCATCTCCTAGGGAGAAAAATGGTTGCAACTAGCCGTGAATTTTATTTAACTTCAGGAATTGGCAGCTCTGCTAGAGAAGATGAAAATAGTGGGGGGAGGGGGCAAAGCGAACGGCCTACCGCCGAATGTTTTGCCCTATTGTTCAGGTATATCGAGAAAAATGATGGATTTCTGTTGAGTTCGAGTTAGGTGAAACGGAATCTAAACGCTGGAGATGTGTTTTATCCTTATCGAGATGGGACAAATGCTTTACGACGAGCGCAGACTGCGGTAATATCGGTTAAAAGCGTCGAGGAATTCCACGGACGACTCTTTGTCATGGACATGCAAGCTTCTAATGGTACGCACTTGTGTTTTCGTATGCGGCATAATTCGATCCCGACCGGCCAATCGTTTTCTTTACGACGATTCGCGGCTTGATCCACGCATTTATTTATTTTTCAAATAATTCACGAGACTTAGACGCGCGAGAGGAATGCCATGATGGTATGCAAGGTTAAATGAAAGTATGCATCCTCTCCGAGGTTTTCTAGCGTCACTTTTCGCTATTCTAAACGCTAATGAAAAACTTATGCAAAAAAGCGTGGCGATAGTTCGATAATCGTTTTGTTATAATTATGCATTTCACAGAGATATGCTAGATGGAAAGTATAATTTATAGTTTTAAGATGCATCAAAAATTAATATCCAAATATAAATATAGAGTAATCTTTAATTGATAGTATCGGTCATGTTAGTTTTACATGGAATATGTTATTCTATAAATAGAATTTTTATTTTTTAATATAATATTGTATCTTTTTGCTATAAACAGAAATTGAAACAGAAAGAATATTTTTTATATATTTAATAATTCGAGTAACTGTAACAATTGGTGAATCATGTAAATGTAGGGATGGATGTGTGTATGAATACAGTGTATACTTCCATCCCTGGATTGCCTGAACTAGGGATGGTGTGGATGGGAGACATGATGGTGGGAGAGCCCACTCATGAACTCATGCTGGATCCTCGTCAAGCCGAGAGCCCCTTCTTTTCGCATAGTTCGCATCCATTTGAAGATCTCAGAAATCATCACATTGCTCCTATGGTACGCTATATACCACAACAATTCTCAAATGAGTGCTCAGAACCTGATGAAGCGATGGAAGCTGTAGATGCTCATGAGATACAAGTGAGTTTTGTATTCTTGCTGAACAAAAATGGAATATATAATTTATAATAAGTTTATATACATATACATATTTCTCTAATATTATAATTGCATTGTTTTAAAGGATTATGATTCACAGCCTGAAAGGCCAGAAATGAATGAATATTTAACATTAGAAGATTATATTGATGAAGACCGAGAACAAATTGTGAGCAATGCGGCGACTCAAACTACTCAAGACAATCGAAATCGAAAAATAAAGCCTATAAAGCATCCTGGACTTATTTTAAAAACGCCTATTGCGTATCAACCTCATACTGATCTAAATTTTATTCCTATTCGTAAAGATGGTATAGGTAAGTCTTTGTAAAGATTAAGGTATAATTTTAAATTTATATAATGTACATTGTTGGACAAAATAATGGACTATAAAAATTACTGTAACGTTTATTAGCTTAAATATAAATGTAAGTATAAATCAAAATATAAATACAAACTAAATATAAATTACACTTTAAAATAACAAATAGAAGTCTAAACTTTAATGTTTGAATAAATTAATGATATATTGATTTTTCTACTTAAAAGAATAAAATGTTATAAGATTTTTTTTCTAAAATATATAAAGAAATATTTTAAGTAAAGATAAAAGATAACTGTTACTAAAAGATAACTGATAATTGTTGGATTATGCATATTTTCTTATTAGTAAAATTTATTAGATAAAATAACTGGAATTCTCATGTCAAATTATTAATCTGGTATCAGTTTATTTCAATTTGTATTTGTATTTTACAGCTGTATGTGAAAAATGTGGTGCTATTGGAGTGAAACATGCTTTTTACACGAAGGAGCGTAGATTTTGCAGTAGAGCATGTGCACGTTCTTCAGAACATACGGCTCCTACTGCCGATTCGACATATAGTCCATCTCATTCAGTGGATCAGCCAGTATCCGGAAATCAAGCATCACTTAATGAAACAAAATCGACAGAAGTAAGTTAATATTAAATAAATTCATTTGAAGAAAGTGAGAAAAATAATATACAAAAATAATATAATTATGAAGTAAAGTAAGTCGTCAGTGTAAAGTTATAATAAATTTTTTATTTTTTTCCGACCAAACTGACATGAATTTTGATTATAAGTTGCATAACGTTTCGACCATCGGTTCTGGTTCTTATCAAATGTTATAATTAAATTACAAAATTAATTATCTAAATTCAAATACAATATTTAATTTAATTAATATTAATGTACCCTATGATTTTTATATACACGATGAGATTTTGACTGTTATTTAGTCATATTATAAATGTTCGGTAGACCGACTTTGTAATGCGTCAACACAGGTCTGTAATAACTTACAGTTATTAGACAAGACTGTGTTTAAAAACACAGTCTAATAGTCGGTCTACCGAACATTTATAATATAACTAAACAACAACAGTCGAAATCTCATTGTTTATAGAAATTATAGGTAACATTAATATTAATTAAATTAAATAATGTATTTGAATTTAGGTAATTAATTTTATAATTTAATTATAGCATTTGATAAAGACCAGAACCGATGGTCGAAACGTTATGCAACTTATAATCAAAATGTTCATGTCAGTTTGGTCGGAGAAAAATAATAAATTTATTATAATATTATGTTTTAATTTTTCAGGTAGTTATAAAGGAAGAAGTAGATATCAAGGAACCTGTCGAATCAGAAAAAGAAAAAGTTAAATTAGAACCGGTAATGCCCGAAGATTTACCAGTTAGAAGAAAAAGAACAGCAGAAATGGCGGGTTCTTATGATTGGACGTCGCAACTTGTTGAACCTGGATTTTGTGCTGCACCAGTCTCATGTTTTAAACATGTTAGTTTTTCTGAAGATAGACTTTGTTTTATGTTTTGCATTATAGTATTAGAAATGTATTAGAATAGAAAATTATATCTTAATTATATAATTATATATTATATATATGTAATATATTAACTATATATTATGTAATTAATACATATCATAATCAATATATATTATATAATTAATATATATATTATATATATTAATATATAAAATTAATTATATAATATTACAAAAATAAATTACATATATATATATATATTTGCGAATATTTTTAAACGCAAAATACTGTTTTTTATATATTTATACAATCTTATTACATCTTGAATTTTTGTTTTTAGGCTCCTATATCCGAAATATGGGATAACATCACAGTTGGTATGAAAGTAGAAGTAGAAAATACCGACTGTGACGAAGTATGCGAGGCTTTCCCAGATTCGTTTTGGGTTGCAACTGTATTACGTATATGTGGCTATAGAGCTTTGTTAAGGTATGAGGGTTTCGGGCACAATGCAGATAAAGATTTTTGGGTGTCGCTTTGTTCTAATGACATACATCCTGTTGGTTGGTGTGCCACAATTGGAAAACCTCTTATTCCACCTAACAGTACGTAATCAAAATTATTTCTAACAAAATGACAATGCGCAGACTAAAAGAAATGTATTGAGAAAAATAATTATTAATCTTTAAAAATGCACTTGAGAAAGGGATCTGATATAAATAAATTATTTTTGCAGCAATTGCCAACAAGTACAAAGATTGGAAGGATTTTTTAATGAAACGATTGACTGGTGCAAGAACATTACCAACCAATTTTTACAACAAAGTAAACGATAGTATGAAATCTCGTTTTCGATGTGGGCTTCATTTAGAAGTAGTAGATAAAAACAGAATCTCACAAGTGAAAGTTGCAACAATACAAAAGATTGTTGGCAAACGTTTGCATGTGAGATATTACGATTCTCCTCCAGAGGATAATGGTTTCTGGTGTCACGAAGATTCACCTCTCATACATCCCGTCGGTTGGGCTAAGAGAGTAGGACAGACGCTGGATGCATATCCCGAGTATTTAGATCGAGTTTCTAAATCAAAATTAACCGAAGACGACGCAACGGGAGATCTTTTTCATGTGCCAAAGAATCATCACGTACATCTTGGATACACGTTTAGAGAAGGAATGAAACTAGAAGCCATCGATCCACTCAATCTTTCGGCTATATGCGCGGCGACAGTTATGCGAGTTTTAAAAGAGGATTACATTATGATTCGCATCGACACTTACGATGAAGACGCGAGCGGTGCCGATTGGTTTTGTTATCATTCGTGTTCACCTTGCATTTTTCCAGTCACTTTTTGTTCCCAACATGGTTTACCATTAACACCACCTAAAGGTTATGATCCTACCACATTTACATGGGATGCATATATGATAGAAACTAATGCTGAACCTGCTCCTGTGCAGTTGTTTAATTGGGTAATTGTCCTATACATTTCTTAATATAGTTTGAAGTTTTTGTTTATATCTTGCAATTGCATGTGAATATTTCTATATTTTTTTAGGATATTCCTCAACATGGATTTATTGAGGGAATGAGACTTGAAGCTGCTGATTTAATGGATCCTAGATTAGTTTGTGTTGCTACTATTACTAGGGTGATTGGCAGATTATTACGAGTACATTTTGATGGTTGGGAAGATGAATATGATCAATGGTTAGATTGTCAAAGTCCAGATGTTTATCCCGTTGGATGGTGCGATCTTGTCGATCACAAGTTAGAACCGCCACGAAATGTACTCACTAAAAACACTAGTCCTACTGGTAAATATCACATATGTTTATGCACATATTATTAAATTAAGTATGTATATTTTATATATATATATGACACTATATATTGCCATAGTAAAATCACCAAGAGGCCTTAAACGTAAAACTAAGAGAAAATGGAAGAAGGGTAGCAAGATGTTTTGCTCCAAAAATATACTACCTCGTCAGAGCGAACGTATTAGTATGGCTCGCGAACGCGGGCGAGAATTGGAACCTGCTCAAGGAACCAAAATTGAGAGAGAACGTGACTTAGAAAGCTTACCAGAACAGAGAAGCAGGGAGCCAGAACCAGCAGAAGAGCCGGTTGGTCCCGATCAAACCTTACCCAGTCCTACCACTGGTCAAGGCCAAGCATTGAGTGACACGCAAAGCGAAGTACAGAATCCTCAGCCACCTAAAGAAAGGACTGCTACATCATACATCAACGTATGTATAATCTTTGTGTGTAATATATATATGTATTTGTATATGTAATTGTATATATAATTATATATATATATATATATATATATATATAATGTAATCTCAAATAAAAATATATTTATAGGTTATACTTATAAATTATCACACACATAAATAAAATTAAATTCTAATTCATTTGATTTTCGTAGGTCACTTCAGCAAGTAGTAAATATATACCAAGACTAGCAGATGGTATACAAAAAAATTCGGAATCTGGTGATCTAGTGCCATCTGAATGGAATGTTTTTGACGTTGCACAATTTCTTCGTGTTAATGATTGTGCGACATACTGCGATAATTTCAGTAAACGTAAAATAGATGGAAAAACATTGCTGACTCTCACTAAGGACCAAATAATAGACCTAACAGGTTTTAAAGTTGGACCTTCTTTGAAGATATATGATTTAATTCAGCAATTAAAAATCAAAGTGAATCCAGCTCAGGAAAGGTTGAAATTTGGATTGAAGAAATTATTATAACAAAACTAGTATATAGTTAGCGCTATAAATAAGTTCCATTATTATGTAACTTAGTCATGGATTTACAGGTAAAGCATGTGAAATAACGATGATTAAAATCACCTCTATCTCAGTATAGTTACATATGTTATTTGTTACATACTTTACTGATATACTGAAGGAATGTTTATATGGAGATTCTTTATAGTCTAAAACAAAAGCATAAAATTTAGATGCCGTATAATCCATTATGAGTTAAAAGAGAATACTCTATTCCGAAAAGCAGCTGTGATTTAATTTTTATGCTTAAATATATAATGTTAAATGTACAATAGGTGAATGCCACAGAATATGAAACAAACTATTTTTAATGTAACAACAAAAATTGTTATATTAAAAGTTATTAAAATTAATAATTTAAATATTCATTATATAATTATATATAATAGTATTTTGCTTATTTCTTTTTTATCTTATCTTTTATCTATGAATAAAAAAATAATAACGACAAAATATATGTTGTGCATAGGAATAAAGCACTTATATCATAAGGATTTGTGTTATTAAAAATCTATTAATTCTCAGTAATTTTAGTAATGAAAGATTTTGATAATGAAAAGTACATGTTTTAATACACACACGCATGCATATATATATATGTGTCTATGTGTGCGCGTGTGTGTATGTGTGAACACAACAAGTATATAAACTATAGACTTACATTAAAACTGCATTTTGGAGTGGACTACTCTCTCTAAGGAAGACAGCATCTAATTTTTTCTAATGCTTATATTATTGTAGAAAAGAATTAAAATTAACATTTTTTTATAATATCATACATTATATATATAAATATAAATATATATTTATACCTGAATACATATATAAGAAAACTTTGATGTACGTATATTGCACTTATACATATTCATAAATATGTGACATATTTTCTGCAATATGTTTTTATTACTGAAATTTCTCTTCTAACCACAGCGTTATTTGTAAATCCATGCTGCCACATTGCACTGCATTAATTACATGGATGCATCAGCCACAAACTGGTACGTTGGAAACATCACTTTTCTTCAATGAAATTGAAAATTGAGACGTTTCATATTTTACGTATACGTTAACAGAGTAAATTAATACAGATATATTAAGAGTAGCTACAAAGTACAAAGATTTTTTCTTTGTTAATTTAATATCGATTAATGTTAAACTTGTTGAGCAATAATGCAATTTTTACAGAAGATTATCATTTTTACTATTTTAATACATCTTTATAACTTCACTCTGTATGACATATAATACATATACGTAAATTGAAATATGACTAAAAGAAAATCGCAAAATTATTTAAGCGTGTATGTAAATTTTGTATATATTGTATGTAACATAATGTAAGTTTTAGCTTTTATCTTTCTGCAAATCATGACAAACTGCGCATTACACAAGTGGCTGATGCATATGTACAATGTACATTAGAACCATATATTGCTTAATCATCTCTATAATGAATCAAAGCAATCAGGTAACATTAAATCGCTTTGACTCTTAAATACTATTTTAGTACTATAAAGTATATAAAACGTGATTACACTCGCCAATTATTTATTCAATAATTTGGAATCTCAAGAAACTGAACTCTTACGTATCTTTAATATAATGTTTTCTAAAAGAAAAGGTTATATATATATATTTGTGGTAAAAGAACATGTGTATAAATAGCCAATCAACACTGTATCGTTCTCGTGCACAAATTATTACAGAATTCTAATAACATGTTACTCATGCAAAGTGAAGCCTTTCTCGTGCGTTAAATCTCGTCTGAAAGATAATGGATCCTTGTTTACAATTGACTTCTTGCTATGAAGAGCTGTAAAATCAAATAGTAACGTATAGTATTAACATACAATACGAAACATACAACAATATGCTCATTATTTGATATCTGCTAAACATACTTTTAAAAATTAAGGATTATATTTAAATTTTAATCTTAATTTATTTGCTTTATTGAAGGTTTTAGGCAATATTAATGAAACTGATTAGAATTAGAGAACTTATTACTTGCTTTTTAAATTTATTTGTATTCTAAGTAAAACATAGGATTAAATTTGACAAAAGAATAATTTTATGTCGGATTCTTTTTTCGTAATTATATATAAATTTTTATCAAATAAGAATTACACAATTATAAGTACAAAAGAAATGCGTATATTTTAAAGTATGTACTATATGATTTTATGCTTAAATTTTAACTAATTCAAAAAATCTAACAAGTATCTTAAATATTTTGTGTTGTATCTTAATTATTTGTTAGTAATTTTAAACATTGCAACTTTAATACGCGAAGTAATAGAAAACTATTACGATAACATTTATGATTTCTCAATAATGCGGAATTTTTCAACTTCGTTATTATCGACATCGACACTACTAAAAACAAGAAGATACGCTTAGAGAGACATTTATAGATACATATTAGTTTTATCTTATCCCTCTATGCCATATATATATATTGTATATTGTAATTTACATATCAGTTTCTGAATTTGTACTCGTCTTTCTTATGATATTGGACGAGAAAGCGCAACATTTTACATATGTGTTGATGAAAAAAGATGTAGGCTAGAGGGTTAAGAAAATAAAATGAATATTTGCCAGGAATTGTAGCAATTATTGCGAAACTTTTTATTATTAGATTATTATCAGATCAGATTATTTGTAGTAAAGTAGTTGCCTTTAGATTATAAATTTGCAATTAACATATAATTCATAATTCATCGCAATAAAAATATCGCATTATATATATATTTTTCAAGTGATATATATATATATATACAAACACTTGTATGATTAAAAACGAACACATTTCTGCAAATTTCATTTTTATTGGGCGAAAGGTGAATTTTGTAATTATTTGGTTTTTAAAAAAATTTTTTTTTAATAATTTTATTAACTTTTATACATCTCGATAAAAAAATAAAATTTAATACAGCACAAGCTATTTAATGATGCCATATAGTATTTATGAATATGTATCGCGAAAGTGCATTATTTCTATAAATTTACAATTTAAAGAGGAATCTATATGATTATCTCTAAATTAATAAAACTAAAAGAAATATATATTTTTTTAAAGTTACATATAATACCAATTGGCATCATTTCCTACAAATCTTTCGCCGATAACGTAGATCTCACGTCGAATTTATCGACAAAGTTATTAATTGTAATCTCGCCACACGAGAGATGTCGCGCCAGTTCACAATTATTGTAGCGACACGAAACTAAAAAAAAAAGCCCCGATTCATTGATTTATCCGGAATACTGTAGCCTACACGATAAACCCAGCGTCCGTGATATAATATCGTAAGGCAAGAAATTGTATTATTATTAGCATTAGTAGTAGTAGTAGTAATAATATTAATGCATGGTGAAACGCGCATAAAGCATAGACATATATACACACACACGTAACGCAGGACGCGTCACGTTGGGTCTCGTTCGTCGTCTACCTTAGCGGCGCGTCCGGCGGCGCCTCGTAATAAACGCGTGACGCCGTCGAGCGAACGACGCAGACGTGGGAACACTCGGTGTGTGCGAGCCCGCCATAGCCATCCGTACAGATGGTCGGAGTTCGTGTATACATTACGACGGAGGGGGGGAAGAGAGAGAAGGTAGGGGGAGAGTGGCGGGGATGCGAGAGTAGACGTCGCGTATTCTATGGGCGGGGCTTTAGCCAGCTGGCAGATGTTTCCCGCGCGGCCGCGTCATTCCTCTAGCGTAAACCTACGCGACGCGCAAGTAGTCCCACGCCGGATATATTCGCCGCATCTCGGGAGTAAGAGGCCTGCCTGCCGGCACGGACGTAGACGTGAGTGGAGAGGCGAGGTGAGAATTCGCGGGACAATCGCGGGACAATCGTAGGCGAGGATGAGCTGACGTAGGAGCGGGAAGGAGGGATTCGTCTGAAGTTAGTCGCTGTCTCTCAGGGCAGAACGTAGCGCGCGGGCTTCCCTCTTCGAAGTCGAGTGTGCGAGGCCGCCTCGATCGTACGCGGGCGCGCCCGGCGAGAGGAGCAGGCACGACTTTCAAGTGTTCAGAGTATCTCGGTAGTGAAAATTTCACGCGCTCCGAACATTTTCGCACGTATACGTAAGTACGTAGCCGGCAAACGTCATTCGCGTTTATAACCGCCCGGTGTCGTCTCTGCGGATCGTCGAAGTGAGTCGCGTGCGAGACGACCGTTAATCGTCGAGACGGATTTACTTGTCGAGATGAGTGAACCGGCGCGCGAGGAGAAGAGGACGAGCTTATTCCCGCATCCCGGCGTCTTGGCCAAGGTCGGTTGACGACTTGCAAGAGCGGGAGAAGATTCCTCGGAAATACACGAGAGTGCGAGAGAGACGGACATTTTCTTAACGAGACTCAACCACGCGAACGTGGCTGTGAATACGTCTCGCGATATTTTTCATACCGGTGCAACTTCACGCGAGTGCGTAGCCGGCGTGTGACATTAACCCGAAAGAGGGCGCGCGCGCGCGGGTGTAATAAAGTGTCGGAGTGCAAAAGTAGTGCGGTTGGAGATCTCGGAAGAGGAGGGAGCGTCGGGCGAGTAGTGACGTTCCTGACGCCGGGCGGCGGAGTGATCCACGGCGCGTCGTGGGGGCCCTCAGCTGTTTCCCGCCAAGATCGCCATTACAAAACGCGTTCGGGCGTTGTGTGTGCGCGCCGCGCGGAGCGTGTGGCTGTCCCGTGGACGAGATCTTTGTGCGCGTCGCCGGCGTCCGTTGACGTAAGAAGGGGACTAGTCGGGATACCCGGCGTGTACCGGAAGTGACGAGTAACGCGTTCATACGTATATCGAACGGAAACGCATTTGTGAAAAATACGCGCCGCGTTGTTTGTCCCTCTCCTTCTCCTCTTCCTCCGTTCTGGTGGAGTGCGCGGGCGGACGAGCGAGAACGACGAACGAACGAGAGGAGAACGGCCCGGGCGAGAAAAAGAAAGGAGCGGCGAATATTAAGTGAGAGCGATAACGAAAAGATATCGTCGAGTGAGTGAGAGAGAGAGCAGCAGGGACCTACGTCGTTTCTTCCCAGCCGCTACGACGGCTGTCGCGGACAGTGAAATTCGCTCGGCGGGACTCTCAGTGCTGCGGACCGACGAGATATGTCAGTGTTTGGTGGTGACGATCGGATTTTGCTCGAGGAAATCGTCGAGTCGACTGAACAGCCGGAGATTGAACTGTGCGGGTGAGTCATGTTTCATCAGATTCTCTTTACGAAATTAAGCTTGTGTATATATATATATATATATGTATATGTTGGAACGACGATAGCGTGTATGTACATCACGCATCTATGTGCATACATACATGTATTCTCTGTGCCCGCGTTTGATACGACGCGATTGTATGCATAGACGCGTATATCGTAGTCGAAGAGAAAGACAGCGAGAGAGACGAGCTTTATTGGCTCTCTCGTTCTCTCTTGAGAGTGTCGTGCCCCAGCCGCTTATCGGCCTTAACCCGTTTGCGAGAGCGTAAACGTAGCTGCCGCCGTGGCACATCGGGCGTCGTCGTCGTCGTCATCGACGTCGTAGGAGAACGCGAGATAGCTCGCCACAGCTGTTGAAGCCGGCCGGCCGGCCGGCGCCTGATATCCGTCGTTGGCGGCCCGGCCGATGTGTGCGTGCGATCGTGACGTCGGCGTCGCCTCCGCCGCGGCGGCGGCTCCCCGAAAGTCGAGTCGTTTTCCGCTGGAAATGCAGGGACGCGTAGCGCCGCGCCGGACCAGCACTCTCGCGGATCTCGTCCGCGCTCTCTCTCTACTACGCGTTCACGCCCAACAAGCATGGCGCGCGCGCGCTTGCTCGCGGCGGCATGGACGCCTCTTTATCTTCTCTCTCTCTATCTTCTCTTCTCTTTCTCGTGTGCGTGTGACATTTCTTCCATTACCGCGCGCTCCGTACGCATCCGCATTTCTCTCTTACGTCATGTACATTTTTTTTTAGGGAAAAATATTTTTCTACGTCTCCCAGACTGCGTTTTTATGCGTTTTAATAAATTGGGACGGGAACGAGGGAATATATTTTTGTCGGTCGGAAACGCTATCAGACTGGAATGTGTACGTATCTTTCGACGACACGGAAAGAATTTTCTCTTACGATTAGATATTATTCTGAAAATCATGGTAATCGAGAGACAATATGGTGTTGGAAGAATTTTTTTAAAAGTTTCTCTGAATTTACCACGATAAAATATAAAATACACTCGATTAATTTTACTATATGTACATATTCATATTTTTTCTTGTGGTAAATATTAATCGGAGAAACTCATAAAATTCTTCCTGTACCATCTTGTCCCACGATTACCATGATTTTCAGGGTAAATTCTAAGAGAAAATTTCCTCCGTGTATGTAGCATTATTTAGCTAAGAAGTAGATAATAAAGTAGATAAGGTAATAGATTCTGTTCTATATCTGTAGATTTTTATCGACAAAAGAATGTGGCGATAAGATGAAAGGATAAATTTTCATAGTATTTATGTTAAGGTTACATTCATATTTTTAAACATTTTTCATGAATATATAAATTCTTTATCTGTTTATGCATTTTTATCATCATGTTATACGTTATTATAACATATTAATACATAAACAGTTATGTAAATCTCACAATTAGATTGTAAAGAGTCCGATAGTGAGAGAAACTTACGTAAAATTTTTATTATGAAGATATCAAGTTATTTTAAAAGCGCAAAGTGCGCGGTTAACCCAATGCGAAGCCAGGCATCGTCGGTTCAACCAAGTATGTCGAGTCATTTTTTGCGTCTTCGTTGTGTGTACGCGCCGTATGATTTTTTGTCTCACGTTAGAGTACAACGATCGTAGAACAAAGAAGCAGGAAGGCGCGAGGAAAGTGTATTCTTTTGTGTACAACCGAGTGACCGACAGAGCTAGGGCATATATATATATATATGTGTGTGTGTGTGTGTATGTATGTGTATGTGTATATATAACGTATGTATATATAAATACATATACATATACACACTTTGCTATATATAATATATATATAAAATGCCGCCTCACGCGTTACGTAAAGCTGCGCGTTTGTGTTGCACAATAATCGGTTTCTATAAATAACTTCAAGCATGCCACACTCCGGTTCGACTTCTTGTTTACATACGCTCATCATCGTATTGCACTCGCTCGTTTCTCAATCGCTCTACTTTGAGTTTCGAATCTTGAAAGATGCAACTTCATTCATAATATGCGCATTTTATTTATCGAAATCAAATAGAGAAAATGAAATAGTAATTGATGTGTTCCGTAATCAACTTTGGTTGTCTAACAGATGCATTTTTGTTTAATATAAATAATATAATAAATATTTTATATTCAGTGAAATATTTAATAAGTCGATATATCAAATCATTCGCTCATCATCATAGATTATTATCATAATGAAAAAAATTTGAAAAATACGAAATAAACGCTGTATGCAAAATATTTATATGGTGTAAAATATATGAAACAACGTACGCCATGATAATAAAATTAAATGTCAACTCTGTTATCATTGAATTATTACGATTGGTATCAAGCGTAAATAAATAATTATTGTACGCGACATACCACAGTGATGTAATAGTTTCGCTTCTCACATGTGTATATATCATTGCTTCACATTGCATTATATTATTTCTATATATTTCTAATTGTGATACGACAGTGAAAACGATGTGCAGAAAGATGGCTCCTAAGCACTTTTATTTAAATTATATAATTCATATTTATTTAAATGCATCTTTGGCTTAAGCTATGTTATTCTATCACATTATATAAGTCTTACACGATAATAAATTTGCCCTTCTCACAATGTATTACGACGACGTTATGAGGAGAAACTATTTCCTAAACTTCCTTCGCGCGTTGGAATGCATAACTTTGACACCAAAGTTGGACGGAACGCACGAAATCACATCAGATATGTGCTTATCCGTTAATCACACGACAAGTACGATATCAGCCCATCAAACAGCCGTCGTTATATAAGCAGTATATAACTCTTGCATTACCGATTCCGATAAATTTGCGCAGTACTGATAAAATAATTTATTCTGGTGCACGCGCTATCTTCGTATATATTTCTCAGTTTATTCATAATGAGAAATGTAAATTACACTTTTCATACGTCAAATACATTCGTTGCTTTTTGCTTATAACGAACAATTGAGGCAATTACAGTTGTAATTTAATATATTATAAATATGATTCTTTTTACGTTTAATTTTTTTTTATATAACAACGTGTAGAATTTCGGCGGTTTTCATTACTTTTATAATAAAATCTATTTTTTTATATTAATTTTCAAATATTGCGCAATATTGCGATCGTACTCATAATTCATAATTTGCTCATACAATCTACGTAATAATATTTCTAACGTATTTTTAATATCGCGACAATGAGCAGGTCAACATATAATTTCTTGTATAATGATAATTACGTAATATGCTTTCTATATTTCTCGTAAACGTATATCGATCGGAATGAGCACCGATTCAATGATGCCCAAGTAACATTTATCAGTATGTGAAATTGTTACGCGCGCGAGGTATATCTCAAGATAATGCGTTGAACGTTTATCGATTATTTCACGTTGCATGCGCAAATACGCGCGAAACGATGCATACATACGGCTCTTTATTGCTTCGTCCCGTATTCCAAGACGAGAAGCGACCTCGTCTCACCTCGATGCACTTTTTGCGTACGCGCATTAGCTTGCGCTCGCAAGTTCTCTCGCGGCTTAATAAAATGGCTCGGTCGAGCCAATCCTGACCACGGTCAACGTAGTAGCACCAACCATAGCACACATTGCTTTTTAAGTAGTATATATACACAAGAGATATATGCATACCTTCGCGTCGCGACAGCGCATGCAACGAGCGAGAAGAGGTGAGCAAACGAGAGAGAGAGAGAGAGGGATGTGGAGTGAGTTATATTTCGCATGATGCACCTACTTGCACCGGGTTAACTTCGGCATTTGGGTGCGCATGCACCCGATGGTGATGCACGTTGTATACATTTGCATCGCGGCACTACGTAATTCCCCAACGCATACACGTGTTTTCTCGAAGAAAATGTCATTGATCTTTTAACGAGTTCTTGAAGAATATCACGCACTTTGTTGTGTGAAATATAAATTTATTTAGATATATAAATGGAAAAATAATTATAGATAAATGAAATAATTAAATATAAATATTTTAAGAGAGAGAGAGAGAAAAATATATGATAAAATTAATAATAGGAGTAAAAAAATTCACGGAGCAAAGAATTTAACATATAGAACTACGTTTTTACATTACGTCTCTATTTGCATCTATCAGAAACGAATTTAAACATTTCATTTATTACGAGCATCTTGATAGAAATATAATACAATGCCGTGCACGTATAAAAGAAACGTCGCGTTACTGTGAAATCTAAACGGCTTCCTTTAGGAATGGGCTTAACACCTGTCATGCAAATGCATAATTTTTTCCAATCTCATTATCCACTGTGACTTCCTGCCGATGGGTTTAACTAGGTTGAACATTCGTGCAATACACACTATTCATCTACTCGTTACGATAAAGATGATCCCTCGAATTTCCGGACTGTGTCTTTATCGTTCATGCAAATACAATGCGAATGATAGGTCGACTGTTTGCGGTATAACGTCCGTAATAGATAGGAGTTGTGTCCCGTCGTGATAGACATAAGTAGACAAAACGAGTCTTTATTTATCTGCACTTATCTGGAACATGACTTCGCAGTATGACTCGCATATGTATATATGTGCAGGAATATTTTATTAGCGTTGCATACTATAACCTACACCTACGATATCACTATTAATTAATAGAAGGCGTACCTGGTTTCATTTCTTAGTTTTGCAATATATGTACAACCGTGGTGATAGACATAAGTAAACAACCGCAGTCTTATTTTAAGATCTAGCCGAGTTGTGATAATTGCATACTATGCACAAGCAACGATATCTCTGTCAATGTTTTGCATAATAGTACAAAATAGTTATTATCCCTGTCACTATTTAAAATTTAAATAATCGATACGGAAAATTTAATAAACGCGTTTCTCTTATTCAGTTCACGAAGACAGAGAGCTACCGCGATAGTTGTAAATAGACAATACGGGCCTTTATTTTAGGAACTAGCCGGGGCTTATTCTCTATAATGTA